TGGCTGGAGACCATCGACTGCGGTACGCCATCTCGGGACTTGATCGGTGTGTGTGTGTGTCTATATATATATATATATATATATATATATATATATATATATATATATATATATATATATATATATATATATATATATATATATATATATATATATATATATATATATATATATATATATATATATATATATGAGCGTGTTTATAGTTGTAACCCAAAATCCTAAAAAGTGCTCCCATCATATCGAATGTTTGTGTCTCGTACATGGAGCATTAAATGTAGATGAAAAAAAAACTAATTGCACAGTTTGGTGGGAAATTGCGAGACGAACGTTTTGAGCCTAATTAGTCCATATTTGAACACTATTTGCAAAATAAAAACGAAAATGCTACAGTAACCCAAAATCCAAAGTTTCCTCAACTAAACACGGCGTTAGTTTTAGGAAGTTGGAATTTAGAGCTACTGTTGCACTTTTGTTGTTATTTAGCAATTAGTGTTCAATCATGGACTAATTAGGCTCAAAACGTTCGTATCGTAATTTCCCACCAAACTGTGCAATTAGTTTTTTTTTCGTCTACAATTAATGCTCCATACACGGACCACAAACATTCGATGTGATAAGTACTGTAGCACTTTTTTAAAATTTAGGGTGGAACTGAACACGCGTTATATATATATATATATATATATATATATATATATATATATAAGCACCCAAAGTGCGCCAGCGTCCCTCTCTCTGCCTTGATACCTCTGCTGCCCCTGTCGGCCTCTGTCTCTGGTCGCTTTTCCAGGCCGAGTTAGGCCGTGCGGCCTCCTACCCCGGCTTCTTGAGGAAGCCAGGCCGCTGCTCGCCTTGCTCACCATATCTCACGGTCTCTCCTTGCTCCACCTCCGCGTCTCGCACCCGCGCGTCCCGCACCGGTGTCCCAACTCCGCTCGCGACCAGCCGAGCCGCAGCGCCCCGCCGATGCTGGTCCGTTCTCGCAAGCGAGCGTGCCCGCGTTCCTTGGTCCGCGCTTCTTTGCGCACCTTCGCCTGTGGTCGCCATTGTCATCCGTGCGGTGAAGCACTCCTGCTGGCTACGCCCGTCGGTGCCGGTCATCCCAGCCATGCAGCGCTGCTCGCCACTCGGCCGGCGCCGTTGCATCATGCCGACGCCGCCGTCCATGACTTCGCCCACGCTGGTTCATCGCTGCTCGGCGTTTCCTCTCCAAATAGCAGCTCCGCTTTGCGGGCAGTAGCACACCGCCTCCGCGTCGTCGCACCTAGCCGCTGTTGCCTCCCTCGCCGTCTGCTTCAGCGCCTCGCGCCGGGACCACGGCCGCTTCCACCGCCCTATCGTGCGCGAGCACGCCATGGCCGGCCGGTGCTCCTCCCTGACGATGCTCTGTTCTCAGATTGAAGACAAGGTGAGAAGTCCAAGAAGAATGTTATACGGGGTTTTATTTGCGAAATACATGACTTAAAGGAATAGTGTTGTGGTTCGGTGGCCGGATTAGGCAGAAGTCCAAGGGCTTATTCGCATAATAGACCCGCCCGCCTGCCTGTTTCGGCCGCTTGGGCGGCGTTCTGGGCCATCCCGTCGTTCGCTTTGGGCAGGCTGACACACACACCTTGCACAAGATCTGCTGGGCCAAATAGGTCGCGCTGGCCCACTTAGCTTTATAAAGCATTTGTTAATTTCGTTTCGGAAGTAAACTTGTAAAATCCATAGTAAATCATAGAAAAATCATAAAAATGTCAAACCAGTTTTGTTGAGTCTCTAAAATCAGGATCTACCTACTAGTATATTTTGTTCACATAGTTCGATAATATTCTTGGAAGCTATATATTTAAAGTTGGATACTTAATATTATGAAAATATGAATTTGTAGGAATTTCCGTGATAAATTGGTAATGGTATTGGATCTAAAATCTTTACAGTAGGTTCCTAGCAATATTAGCTGCTCACCGTAATTTTGTAGCTCTAAAATAATTAGTTGCTAGATAAATAATAATGTCCTATTGCGAATAAAGAAACACCGTTGGTTTATATAACTAAAACAATTGTTGGAAAATAATGCCTTATCCGTCAACGTGTATATGTAGCCTAAGTACGATCGTCGTTAGAATTAGCCCATTAACTTAAGATTCGTACGTCGTATTTTATGAGTCACGATTGCAGTTGATTAATTACATCTTTGCATTGCATCGCATGCATATCATATAGGTACGATGATGGATCAACGGATCGATTGAAGGATGATTGGGAATCCGAAGATGATACAATGGGCTTCTTATTCAGTTGATGGTGGATGATCTGGAGATGCAGATACTAACTTTTTAATATATATCTTACCCAGACAAGCTCTGGTACATAACCCCTACTTTCTGCAGTTTAAATTATATTTGTGCATTAAGTTTCAAGGAGTTGAATGGAACCCACTTGCATATATATCTTTATCCTATGAGTCTTACTAGTATGACAGGATCGTGTAGAATGCTATGCTCCAGGACTCCGGTAGAAGTCGAGTGATTGCCTGTCATTCGCGAGAGATAGGAAATATATTACTGTATTATTATCACTTGGAAAATATAAATGGTGGAAAGGAAAATGGTGACCGGGCAGGGATGTGGTTTGGGTATTGGTGGGTGTAAGAGGTTGTGTCGCCGTGGACGCGGGGCATGGCTTGGTTACACTGCTTTCCCTGTCTGTGTCGATTAAGGACCGATCGTTGCATATGACTCTAGGTAGGTCACAGACTTAGTATCCCGAGCACATACTTTTGTATGGGCGCTTAGAAGACTTGTTGCTCTCTTGTCGCGGATCCGGCTCTTTCTGGACCGACTGTCAGGGTTTCTTTTTGGTGGAGGAGGTCCTTGCACCGCACTGAGTCCTGGACTTAGGGGCGGGGGCTTGGAGTCCCAGTTTGGATGGAGACCTGGACACCCGGGACAGGAGGGTGATGGGTTGGTCCTGCTTGTGCCTGGGGTACAAGCGGGGCGTGTGTTTTCGGAGTACCCAGGTGGGGGCATTGATTCGTGAATCGTCGGGTGATCTGGTACGGCTTGTCTACGGTTTAGCATCGTAGTAAGAACTGAAGATGAAAGATGAAAGATGGAAAAATGAAATATGATTGCTTACCACCTGCTTTAAAGTAGCACAGGTGCTTACATAGAATGGTTAGTTAATGAACCAATGCAGCTATTAATAAAAATCGGATATAAGGACGCACGCTTAGTAATACTTTCTGCAAATGCAATAAACCCACCAGCCAGATAGCCTTGCATATCCTTAGAGTCTTTTCTTTTCTCCTGTCGGGTAAGTCTTGCTGAGTACAATTGAGTACTCAGGGTTTTATTCCCCCTGTTACAGGTGACAGGTGGATGCTAAAGCTGACTCTTGTGTGTGGATTCCTCCTGGTGGGCTCAGCGAGGATTCCTTTACGCTGCGATCGTAGTCTTTATCTACAACTCTCACCAAAGGTTTTTATAAATGAAAATTTATAATCTGTTGTCATAGTTGTTATATATCAATACTTTATCATGTCATTAATAAATGTTTATTTCCGCTGTAACTCTGTTCACATGTTCATATTCCGCTGTTCAATTAAATTATTCATAACTCTGATAATATGATTACATTCCACTATCATAATGATAAATGCTATACTCTGATGTTGTATTAAAAGTGATGTAAGAAATGGTTAAGAATGTTGTAAGCTTTATTCTCTCATTTGTGATCCTGATGGCGAAAATGTGGATTTTCGGGTTCTCCCCTGAGGTGTGCCCGATGGAACCGAGTAATTTAGTGTTCTTTCTCGAGTGCTTAGTGTCTAATGGAAGACAAGCACTCCTGTGAGGCATTAGATTTAGGTGGTTCTGCCACACCGCCACACTCCATCCGCCCCTGTTGTGCCCAGTCTTGTCTCCAACTCGCTCCCACCCCAACCGCGCGATGCCTTAGCCCTGTTGTGCTCGGGCCCAAGTCCGCTGCACAGGCCACGCCTAGCCAAGCCATGTTTGTATTATGTTTTTTCTTGTTTTGGCCTTTGAAGAATACTCTATTTATTCCTTCCTATTTTTCTATCATGTATCTTCTGTATAATCTCCTAATAGTATTTTCATATCGCATATGAATCCAATGGCACAAGAGATTATTCCAACCAAAAACCTTCTATTCTTGGATCTGGAGCTGAGTTGCAAGACAAATAGATTTCTTAGCTCTATGATGAGAGGCCAACTCTAGAGTGCAGCTACTTCACGGTGAGTTAGTTTTACAGAGTTGGAGCTCTCCCAAACAGGCTCTTACTCCCTCTCAAGATCTCCGATCCAGGTTTCTATCTGGCTACCGCCAAGATTCATCTTTCGTCATCTACTGTTACTCCCTCTATCTGAAATTATAATGGATCTTGATTTTTAGATACATTACTTTTACTATGTATCTAGACATAGTGTATATCTAAAGCCATGTATTCAGAAATTTCATAAATTTTAAAACATCTTATAATTTGAAAGGGGGGCGAAGTAGGTCACAACAGACCATATGCGCATGCAAGCATTAAGGCCCTGCATCATTAATACAACAAATCTAATAGACAACTCATTCTCATTACATGAGTTGACTATACTATTAGCTCTTCATACTAACGTGGCAAGTGGTTATAGTCTTCAACTGGCTAGATTACTAGTCATGCTTTTCAAGGTGGCTATACTGTATCTATCCTAAAAAGATACAATTCTAGATTTAAACTGGGACGAATTTTCTTAATTTTGATTAAGTTTATATAAAATATTTTAAATAAATATTTATAAAATGAAATAGATATACTAAAAAAATTCATAATTAATATAATGATACTTATATAGTATTATACAATTTTATACAATTTTGCTTAAATTTAAAACTACTCACATTTAACTCCTAAAAGGCGAGAATTACACATAAGACTATATAAAACACTTAGATCATGAAACCGTGCAAACATTTTTTTTTGAGAAAACAAGAGCTTATATTAATTAAACGTCACCGTTACAGTCATGCTGCTGGATACTTGGGAGAATACATTCAGGAATTTCATACAACCAAGTACGCTCTAAACATGAAATCGAGGCATACTTAGCAAGATCATGGGCTACAGAATTTGCCTCTCTTTTGACATGAGATAATTCAAAAACCATGCATCTCCCCATAAGCTCTTGAACTTCATTTAGAACAGGCAGGATAGTCGACCTGCTATTATCTTTACTTCTCCATAAGGATTGCAACTCTAAACTATCAGTTTCCAACATCACCTTTGGTCGATTCAGCAAATTCATCAATACAGCCCCATCACGTGCAGCATAGGCTTCAACAGTGAGAATGTTTGGAATCAAATCATACCATTTGCATTTAGCCGCTAGAACATGACCATTTTCATCACGAATTACCACCCCAGTAGCACCTTGTTGACTTTTCGCCTTGAAAGCAACATCCACGTTGATCTTCGCAAAGCCAGCAGGAGGTGGCTTCCATTTCATAATTTGTGTATTGTCCTTCTTTCCTGTCATAGATTCAGCGGAGACAATTAGATCAGAAGATAATTCTCTCGCCCACCTGCAGGCCTGTATCATATTCATTTTTGTTTCTCCATGGCGTCTTCCGTTGTGCGCTGTCCAAACTGCCCATATTCCACATAAAATGGGGCCCACAGTTTGTAGCAGGACAAAATGAATTATCCAGTAAATCAAAGCACCATGTAGCAGGATGCAATCTAGGCAATTTAATATTAAACATTTCATAGAATGACCGCCAAAACATGGTAGCAAAAGTACATGTAATTAAAGCATGATAAACAGTTTCGTCTTGAGCACCACAGGGCATGTACCTTGATTTTCTATATGCCTTTCCATGAGATGTGCTTTAACCGGCACAAAGTTATGCATCACCCGCCACCAAAAAACTTTCACTTTGGGAGGAATTGCCAGTTTTCATATCCTTTTTCCAAAATGGATTATCCTCGCTTACAGAAGAATTTGCAGTATGTGTTTTGTTATGTTCCAACATACGTATTGAGAGGGATATTAATCGATATGCAGATTTGACGAAGTATATGCTATTTTTTTCTGCACTCCATGCCCACATATCCTCCTTTAATCTTCCAAGTGGAATTTTCCGGATTTCCTTTGCATCAGCTTCTAAGAAATTTTCTTGTAAAACCTATTCATTCCAAGCAGAGCCTTCTGAAGTGAGGAGTTTATGAACTCTCTCAACTGTAGCTTCTAGTTTCTTGTACAATGGTTTAAACCCTGGTATTCCTGGAATCCATTGGTCTGTCCATACTTGTATAGAAGTGCCATCACCAATTAATTTGATTAAGCCCTTCTTCAATACTTGTCTACCCTTAAGGATTGCTTGCCATGTATGAGAACCGTTACATTTTCTTTTTGCAGACAAGAAAGATGAATTGTGGTAATATTTGCCCTTAAGAGTACGAGCGCAAAGAGAATCAGGTCTGGTTAAAATTCTCCAGCCTTGCTGTCGACAAAAGATGCCCGGCAGTCCACCGAGGGGTATCCCACGATGGTAGATTTGTCGGTGGGGATATACGTAATCAGTAACCAGATGGTGACACAAGGCGCAGAGACAACGATTTAGACAGGTTCGGGCTGTCTGATCGACGTAATACCCTACGTCCTGTGTCTTTGGTGTATTGTATTGAATACATGATGTCGAGTAGAGGACCCCTGCCTCTCCTTATATACTCTAGAGGGACAGGGTTACAAGTAAAGTATCCTATTTGGTACTATACAATGTCTTGCGGTGCACGCCGAGCAGCGCCGTGCACGCTTTGATCTTGTGGGCCGGGCCACCTCCGATGGTGCGGCCCATGTCTTGGGGGCCATACCCCCACAGTTAGTCCCCGAGCCTGACAGTAGGTGATGCGATCACGTGGGTGTGGTCATAAAGTAGAATACCAAATGAAAGCAGTAAGCTAGTCCTCGGGCGTAGCCTCGAGATGAGAACAAGCACATTCACCGCAAGGTGAAGTGTGCCCACTTAGTCCCCGAGCCTCTTTGGAAGATGAAGAATGAATCTTGTAGCAGGTCAAAGAAATCTGAAAAAAAGCTTGTCGATAAATTCGACATGCGCGTATCAAGACCCAGACGTCTTGCCCAAGATCAAGACTACGATCACGAACAGCGTGGAGCAGCTTGATAGCACACCGACGAGACGTAGCAAGATCCGAGCAGCAAGGGAGTCCCCGGCGTCGCTGGCGATGTCCGAGCACCGAGGAGCGAGGAATCTCCGGCGTTGCTGGCGATGTCCGAGCATCGAGAAGCGAGGAGTCCCCAGCGTCGCTGGCGATGACCGAGCACCGAGGAGCGAGGAGTCCCCGGCGTCGCTGGCGATGTCCGAGCACCGAGGAGCGAGGAGTCCCCGGCGTCGCTGGCGATGTCCAAGCACCGAGGAGTGAGGAGTTCCCGGCGTCGCTAGCGATTCCGAGCACCGAGGAGCGAGGAGTCCCTGGCGTAGGCGGTGATGTCCGAGCACAGAGGAGCGAGGAGTCCCCGGCGTCGCTGGCGATGACCGAGCACCGAGGAGCGAGGAGTCCCCGGCGTCGCTGGCGATGTCCAAGCACCGAGGAGTGAGGAATTCCCGACATCGCTGGCGATTCCGAGCACCGAGGAACGAGGAGTCCCCGGCGTCGCTGGCGATGACCGAGCACCGAGGAGCGAGGAGTCCCCGGCGTCGCTGGCGATGACCGAGCACCGAGGAGCGAGGAGTACCCAGCGTAGGTGGCGAGGTTCGAGCACCGAGGAGTCCCCGGCGTAGGCGGCGATGTCCGAGCACCGAGGAGTCCTTGGCATAGGTGGCGAGGTTCGAGCACCGAGGAGTCCCCCGCATAGGCGGCGAGGTCCGAGCACCGACATAGCTGACGACGTCCGTGCGGTGAAGTGTGCCCACTTAGTCCTCGAGCACGAAGAATCCGAGGGCCGAGGAGTAACCGACGTAACTGGCGATGAAGCACGAGCGACGAACATTCTGGTCGACTGGTCGGCGGCGAAGTGAACATTGAGTAGAAGCGACCGGCGAGCAGTCCGATCAACTGGTCGGCGACGGAGTCCATGAACCAAGCGGTCCGACCAGTTGATCGGTGGAGAAGCCCGAGCACCAGGTGGTCCGATCACCTAGACGACGATCCTGCAATACAAATATGTAGAACGGGTAGTACACGATGTACAAATAAAGAAACTCAGGAGAAAAAACAGCAATGGTGATGAAACGGTGTATGCAGTTCGGACGATTAGTTGGCGTGAAAATATATTTATGTTTAATATAAACCGCCCGAACAGTTAGTGTGTAGCTGAGTCTTCAGCCCTAGCTAGCCCATAGTCCATAACGTCGAGCGCGGAGCCCGTGCACGTGTAGGAGGAACAGGCGTGACCAAGGAGTCGCTGCCGACCACCCATAACGCAGAGCGCGGAGCCCGTAGCACGTGTAGGGAGGAGCCGGAGACAGGGCCGTCTCTGAAGGCGTCCGAGCATCAACATGACTGTTCGAGGGTTCGAAAAATTGTTTGGAGAGCAAATATGGAGAAAACAGTTCGGAAAAACATTATAACGATATACGGAGATTGAAGAGTATTTAGAAGAATATTAAAACATGACTTAGCTTTAGACAGAATGTCTGGTCAGCGGCGTATGGCGTTATCTGGTCGGCGACGCGGGCAGCTCGCTTGTAGCTCGACGGCGACAAGGGATGTCGGTGAGGGCCGCCGAGTAATGACGACGAGACAACGGCGAGGGGCATCGGCGAAGGATGTCGGTGAAGGCCGCCGAGCGGTGACGACGAGTCGATGGCGAGAGACGTCGGCGAACGATGTCGGCGAAGGCCGCCGAGCGGTGACGACGAGTCGACGGCGACGGACGTCGGTGAAAGATGTCGGCGAAGGCCGCCGAGGGCAGCGGCGGCGAGTCGTCGACGAGGGACGTCGACGAAAGATGTCGGCGAAGGCCGCCGAGTGGTGACGACGAGTTGACGGCAGGGACGTCGGTGAAAGATGTCGGCGAAGGCCGCCGAGGGCAGCGGCGGCGAGTCGTCGCCGAGCGGTGACGACGAGTCGACGGCGAGGGACGTCGGCGAAAGATCTCGGCGAAGGCCGCCGAGCGGTGACGACGAGTCAACGGCGAGGGACGTCGGCGAAAGATGTCGGCGAAGGCTGTTGTCGGATACCGTGAGAAGGGGTACCCTAAGCAAGATCCAAAAAACGACTGCTTAGATTTCGTAAAGATCGAAACCAGCTAAACGCTGCTGGCCTCGGCCGATTCTCCGACCCGCCCGAGGCCCCATCACCGCGGGCCTCGGCCGATTCTCCGACTCGCCCGAGGCCTCATCACCGCGGGCCTCGTCCAATTCTCCGACTCGCCCGAGGCCTCATCACCGCGGACCTCAGCCGATTCTCCGATTCGCCCGAGGCCCCCTCACCGCGGGCCTCGGTCGATTCCCCCGCCAGAGGCCTCGCCGAGGCCACCGACCCTCCGTCTCGCGCAAAGGCGGGCTCGGCGAAAGACGCCGCTACCTCTTCCTTCTCCCGTCCTTACGGCAAAGCGTCGTGTCGCGTCAACTCGCCAGCTGCTTGCCCACGACAACCGCATGCCCGGCGACAAGATCTGTGAGAATGGCCGATGGGACGAGAGGGGGATCTGCGAGGGTTACCCTTGTTGTACTAACCCCGTGCACGTGGTTGGCGCCCATGCCTCCTTTGTCTGCGCCAACTCTGCTCCAAGGACAACGCGGCATGGGGAGCCACGTCTGAGCCATCTTGTGGCCTCGGAATCGGTACCGGGAGCAATAATTCCCTCAAGGCCTCGGCGGCTCGCTCGAGGGGCTCGGCGGCCCGAGGACCCATGTCCGCCAAAGCCCCCGCGATGGCTTGGCCTCGGCACCTCTGAGCCACGACCCCTACGGCGTCATCGCGCGATGACCCGCACGTCCCGGATGGCGGGGGTTACCCGTCACTATGCTATCCATTGTACACATAGTTGACACCCATGCCTCTTTGTCGCGCCAACTCTGCTCCAAGGACAACGCGGCATGGGGAGCCACGTCTGGCTCTCTTGTGGCCTCGGAATCGATACCGGGGCCAATAACTCCCCCAAGGCCTCGACAGTTTGCTTCACGGGCTCGGCGGCTGAGGGTCCATGACCACCGAGCCCCCACGATGGCTCGGCCTCGGCGGCATGCAGAGCCGCTGCTCCCTCTGACGTCATTACACGGCGACCAGCACGTCGCCGCCATGTCCTCCATCATTTGGAGCCCCACGGCCAGCAAGACCGAGTCGACCGGCATGTCACTTCCGCCACGACAAGGGCGGGGCCACTCCATCGACCATACCACAACAAGATGGCCGACTACAGGGCTCGGACCGCCACCCCATTTCTGAAGCGCTATGTAGCACCACATGCACGATCCGGTCCTCCCTTAGAGTATAAAGGGAGGGACTGGGGCCATTCTAGGGGGAAAAAGAGGAACAAGCCCGATAGCACCAGCAGCTCATATCTTTGCTTGGGAACAACGCCTCAAGCAGCCCCGCACCACCACTCGCCGAGACACGGGGCTAGTTCCTCTCTCACCTAGCTTGTAACCCCCTACTACGAGCACTCCGGTGCAAGGAATACAAGATCGATCTCTGGATTGACGTAGGGCCTCGATTGCTGAACCAATTATAAACCTTGTGTCTCTTTGCGCCACCATCCGGGATTAGGGGCACGCAGCACAAATTCACTCGTTGGTTGAGGGACCCCGGTTCCAAAACACCGGCACGGTTGGCGCGCGCCGGTAGGGGGAGCTGCGTGTAAACCGTCATCCTAGCAAGTTCCGGATGGCGGACTACATACGACCATTGCGTCTCGGCACCATAGTTTGGTTGGGGAGCCTAGAG